GAGAGGTGTGAGGTTCGAACTCCAGCAACCTGAGGCTGACAGCTTTGTGGAAGCAGCCACTTAAAGGCCTGAGCTAGGGCCAGGCCCCCTTTATTGAATTTTGAGACAAGATCTCACTGAGTTTCTTACACTGGCCTCTAACTTTCAACCCTCCTGCCTCCACCTCCCAACTCCTGAGCAGCTGAGATTATAGGCTTGGGTCGCTACACTAGGCTCTGTCAAAAGTTTTTTTAAATTATTATCAATTTTATTGAGAAACAAATAGTAATGAGACAGTTTCAAAACAGGATAGTAGGACAGTTACAATGATTAATACATTGCATATTGTTGTCTTTGTAGTAGTTATTCATAGTACAAGATATCCTGTCCAAACACTATTAGTACAAATCTTACTGCTCATTGAATTAAGAGAAAGTAGCTGTATATCTATCCTATTTTGTGTATACAGATACAAAATGGTCCTTCATTTATATCCCCCTTTTTCATTTAGTTTTGTCAGAGATGGGTACTCCATTGCCATTTAAATATTGTAGGTGCGTGAATTCAGCAAAATAATCCAATATAGTCCAGTAGTCATAGTGGGTTATCTGTAGGACTGTGCAGACCTCAAAAGTCATCTCTGCAATTGCTGAGCTCCAGACCTTGTTCCCTGCTCTAGCTGTGCTTTCTACCACCCTCTTTTTTTTCCTGTAATTTTATTGAGAAACAAATAGCAATGAGACAGTTTCAAATTAAATTATTAGAACAGTTTCAATAATTAACACATTGAATACTATCTTCCTAGTGGTTATTTGTTGTACAAGATGCAAACATGTTATCCTATTTACAAACACTATTAGAACAAATCCCTCTATTCATTGAATTAAGAGAATGTAGTTGTATATCTATCCTAACCATTTTAAATACACAGATACAAAATGGTCATTCATAAAATGCAATTTTTTTTCTTTTTTTCCTGAACCAGGGATTGAACTCAGGCCCTTAAGCTTGCCAGGCAAGGGCTTATCCTACTGAGCCAGCTTCCCAACAGAAGTTTTTAAAATGCATAAAACAAAGGACATGTTCAATTCTCAGCACCACCCCACCCCAATAGACACTGAATCATAAAAGAAACTAATACCATATTTATTCAAGTGTCCAAACATTACAGTATATTTAGGTAGTGTTTAAATATGCTTTTTTTTTTTTCAGAACCGGGGATTGAACTCAGGCCCTTGTGCTTGCCAGGCAAGTGCTTATTCTACTGAGCCATCTCCCTGGCCCCTAAACATGCTTCTTTAATAAACCATTAGATTGTTAATTGGTGGCCCATAATTTCAAAGTGCTGAGGCTCTAAACAATCTTTAGAGGAGTTTGCTAACCCCACACAGGACAGGTGGCTGTCCCCCAGTTCAATCTGTTGCTGAACCACAGGTACTGCCTCCTGGTTGATAAAAAGGCTGAGTTTTAATCAGAGGTTGGAGAAAGATGTGGTATTTTCCCATCAAAGTTTCTGGGGTGGGAAGTAGCTGTGTGTGGGTAAGTTTTTTCAAGAAATTTAGGCTTAGGAAAGACAACTTCTAATAAAGGGGACAAGGATTTGTATGTGTTGTGAGCCAAAGGACCTCAGGGCAGGTTGCGGGGAGTCCAGCCAGAGCCACTACCTGCAGAGAGGGGACTTTCGAACCTGGCTGTCCACCCTTCCCACCCTGTCATCCTCCCTGAGGTATTAAAACCCTGGAAAAGTAGCCCTACGATAGGTTGCATGCCCCAGCCTAGAGGCCCGCTCCCTTCCCCACACCAGTCTATTAGTCAACGTGGTGACCTTGACCCTGGTGTGGGCCCTGCAAATGAGTGGGTCCGCCGCTGTGAGCCCAGGGCGTGACCTGCAGCGACCTGCTGTGACCATTCATGCAGCCACCCTCTTAGACAGCGCCCCTGCCACCGCAGGGCCCCTGCATAAAAGGCCAGGCCAGGGAGGCAGCCAGCCAGATTGGACCCAGGCGCTTGCACCATGACCGGGCCCAGCCTCACTTGCTGCCTGCTCGGCCTCCTATCGCTGACCTCGGCCTGCTACATCCAGAACTGTCCCCTGGGAGGCAAGCGGGCCACGCTGGACCTCGATGTGCGCAAGGTGAGCGAGCGCCCGGATGGGGTGCTGAGAGGGACCCCACTCACGTCACAGGGTGCCCAGCCCGGGACCAGGGTACAGACCAGATGCCACCCGCCCCTGTGCTCTGCTGTGGCCAAGCCAGTGCCTCGCACCCCCTACCCCGCTGCCTGGGTGCCCGCCCCAGCCCCTCACGCCCGTGTCCCCATCCCCGTCCGCGTCCCCGCAGTGCCTCCCCTGCGGCCCCGGGGGCCAAGGCCGCTGCTTCGGACCCAGCATCTGCTGCGCCGACGCCCTGGGCTGCTTCGTGGGCACCGCCGAGGCGCTGCGCTGCCGCGAGGAGAACTTCCTGCCGTCGCCCTGCCAGTCGGGCCGGAAGCCCTGTGCCGGCGGGGGGCGCTGCGCGGCCGACGGGGTCTGCTGCAGTTCGGGTGAGCGCGGAGGGCGCGCGCGTGGGGCGTCGTGGCGGAAGGGGGCCACAGGGTGTCGCTGGTGTCCTGACCCGCTCTCCCCGCAGACGGCTGCCGCACCGACCCCGCCTGCGACGCGGACGCCGACGACGAGGCCGCCTTCTCGGAGCGCTGAGCCCTGATGGCCCGGACGCCCCAGCGCACAGGCTTTACCCCCGCACTCCCACCCCAGCAACCCCCTTCCCTGCGTCAAGAACGCGAAATAAAGCAGTTTCTTCTCCAGCCTGGCTGGCGTGTGTGTTAGACGCAGGAAAAAGATCTGGCTGGGCCTGGACCCAGCGCGGGCTGCTGGCAATTTAGAGCCGCAGCATCCCGCCCAGAGGCCCGAGGGGACACGGGGTCAGAGGGGACATGCGGTGGTATCTGGCAGCCTTGCAGAGGTGGAAGTGTGCACAGCCACAACCTCACCTTCGTAGCGGGACCCAAAGCACACTCAGCAAAGAGATCCCAGGGGACCGGAAGGGTGGCTGGCCTGGAGACACGGAAGGGGACACAGCAAAAGTCTATGGTGTTTCAAAGAGCTTGACTGTCTGCCCTAAGGGGTTCCCAGGAGGTCCGCTGGTGAGGGTCCTGAGCTCGCCAGGGTCCCCCACTGTGGCCTGGTCATGACAGACCCTGCCAGAGCTGGCACCGCCAAGAGGACAGGGAAACCAGTGACCCCTTAGCCAAAAGACTATGACAAAGTAGAAAGGGCTCAGCCTGGTGCTGGGGGTCAGGTAACAGCTGATCCTTCTCCCCAAAGGATCTTCAGCCACAGCCCTTGTCCTGGGCAGCGACTTTAGAAAATCTCTTCCTGCATCCCATTTCAAACAGAACAGAACCAGAGTGCCCATCCTTAAAAATAAAACACCCCTGTCAAGCCAGGGTGGTGCACACTAAGGAGGCTGAGGCAAAAAGATCGCTGTGAGTTCAAGGCCAGCCTGGGCTCCATAGTGAATTCCAGGCCAGCCTAAACTACACTACTACAGCAAGATGCTAAAAAAAAAAAAGGGGGGGGGCTGAGGAGATAGCTCAATGGAATAAGCACTTACCTGGCAAGCTTGAAGGTTCAATCCCTGGTTCCACCAAAAAAAGATGCCAAAAACACCGGGCTTGTCATGTGGCTCTCTAGCACTTGCCCCCCAGGGTCTGGGCTCCAGCCCCACTACACAACTGAATGAATAAATTCTGCCATTTCTGTAGCTTCTCATGCGCTGAAACAACTGGGAAGAGCAGTAGGAATGAACCCAGCTGTTCCCCAGCACTGTGCAGGGTTCACAAACAGGATGGAGGCAAAAATTATAATTAAAAAGGATCATAAACTGGGCAGAGGAACACATGCTTATTTTTTTTTTAAATTTATTTACATTTATTTATTGTGTGTGTGTGTGTGTGTGTGGCCAGCTCAGCCCACCTGGGGGTGGGGCTGGCTGGCATGTGGTGCTGGGGGGTTCCTGTGCTTTGCCAATCTTGTTCCAAGTAGGTGCTTTAGACCACTGAGCCATCTCTCCAGCCCCAGAACACATGCTTATAATTGTAGGCTGAGGCAGGACGCTGGCAAGCTCATGTCCAGCCTGGGCAATTTAGCAACTCAGCAAGACCCTGTTGAAAATTTTAAACTGTACTCTTGGGAGGCTGAAAAACAGGAAGGATCACTACAAGTCCGATCTGTGTAGCGAGATCCTGTAGACCCTGTACTAACTACATTAAAAAATAAAATAAGTCCCTGGCTCATTCCTCACACTAACACAAAATAAATAACTAGTACTAAACATTTTCTGTTTTAGATTTGTATGAGGAGGGCTGAGAATTGAAGCTTTTGTTGGTTTGGTTGTTGTGCTGTTGTTTTGCAGTACTAGGGACTGAATGCAGGAAGTACCAAGCCAAGGCTCCAGCCCCTCCCTTTAAAATTTTATTTTATTTTTAATTTTTTTAAATGTATTTAGTACAGGCTGGTGAGATGGCTCAGTGGTCTAAAGCACCTACTTAGAACAAGCTTAGCAAAACACAGGGACCGCTGTTCAATCCTTCAGCACCACATGCCAGCCAGCCCTGCCCCCTGGTGGGCTGAGCTGGCCACACACAAAAATAAATAAATAAATAAATAAATAAATAAATAAATAAATAAATAAAATTAAATTTTAAAAAAAAATGTATTTAGTACAAAGTCTACAGGGTCTCACTCTACAGATCGGACTTGTAGTGATCCATCCTATTTTTCAGCCTTCCAAGCGCTGGGATTACAGGCAGGGGCCACCACGCCCAGGCTCAGTTGCCTCTCAGCACACCCCAGGGGGTAGGGCTGGCAGGACAGGCCAGGGATTCTTTTATTAATAGATGTTTGCAGTACATGAAGTATACATTCATTATGGGAATAAGTTTGTACACATAATACAACATGTTTCCTTTTAATCTCTTTCCTTTTAAAAAATTATTAAGATACAGTCTCTTGCTGAATTATCCTTTCTGGCCTCAGACTTGAGATCCTCCTGTCTCAGCTCCCAATTGCTGGGATTACAGGTGTGCACTAAGATTTTTCTCTGTATTAATTACAAAACTAGGCCACACTACTCCATGGTGTTGGAGGTATGGGATGTTGCAGAGACTAGAAGGAATGCTGGGAGGGTTCTGGTCATATTCTACTGTTTTTCATTTAGAAAAACCTCAAAAAGAATGGCTGTCATCAAGAAGCTAACCAACGGGGCTGGTGAGATGGCTCAGTGGTCTAAAGCACCTACTTAGAACAAGCTTAGCAAATCACAGAGACCATGGTTCAATCCCCCAGCACCACATGCCAGCCAGCCCGCCCCCTGGTGGGCTGCGCTGGACACACACACACACACACACACACACATAAATAAAAAATTAAAAAAAAAAAAAAGAAGTTAACCAACGGGTCAGTGAGATAGCTCAGCAGACTAGGCACCTGCTTAGGCAAGCTCAGGGACTAGCCCTGCCCTCTTGGCTGCACTGAGCCGACACCAAGACCCTGTGTGGTGGCGCACACCTGTAATCCCTGAAAACTGGAAGATCCCTGAGTCCAAGATGCAGCAAACACATTTTAAAAAATCATTAAGCTATAAACATGTTTACTTTACTTTTGCCTATACACTATACTTGAATAAATCATAAAAATAAGATTGTCATTACCAAAGAGGTTTGAAAGACAGCTGCGATAGGGCTTTGGAAAGCAAATATCCCTTTTCTGACCATGCATCTGGGGTGGGTAGGTGGGAGGATTTGCTACTTGAAAGGGGTCCTGTGAAATGGACCAGGATGGCATGGGTGATATACAGAAATGGGTATTTGAGGGGCCGGGGAGATGGCTCAGTAGGATAAGCGCTTGACTGACAAACGCAAGGATCTGAGTTCAATCCCCGGTTCCACAAAAAAAAAAAAAAAAAGAAAGAAAAAGAAATGGGTATTTGTGTTGTTAAGCCTCCATAGTCCCTTGGAAACTAAGAGTGCATTAGGCAGTTTTGGTAACTGTGATAAAATATCTCAGATAATCAGTTTACATGGAGACAAAGTTAGCATTTTGGGAGGCTGAGGCAGGAGGCAGCAAGTTCAAGTCCCACCTGGTCAACTTAACAAGACTTTATCTCAAAAAAAAAAAAAAAAAAAAAAAAAATCAGGATACTGAGGCAGGAGAATCACCATGAGTTCGAGGCAAGCCTAGGTTTACAGTGAGTTAAGGGCCAACTACATAGCAAGACCCTGTCCCAAAATTTTAAAAAAATAATAAAAGTTGGGGCTGAGAAGATAGCTTGGTGGTCTAAGTGCCTGCCTGGCAAGCTCTAGGACCCGGGTGTGATTCCCTAGTACTGCGTGCCATGCTGGCCCAGAACCGCAGGAGCACCACGTGGGCCATGGAGACTGGGCGTGGTGGTACAGGCCTGTGATCCCAGCCCTGGGTGGCTGAGACAGAAGCATCACTATGAGTCTGAGCTGTGTAGTGAGACCCCGTACCAAGTAAATAAATAAGATTAACAATAATAATAAATAAGAATGGCTGTAGATGCTGCTCAGTGGAGAAAGCGTGTGCATTTGATCCCCAATACCACAACACACACATACAGAAAAAAGAGGGGAGTTCATTTGGCTCATGGTCATCGATGGTTTCAGTCCAGCATTGCAAAAAAAAAAAAAAAAGAAAAAGAAAAAAATATATAGTAATTCTAAACCCCTATATGTCTAACAATGTGCCTGAAAATATATTAAGCAAAGAGATGAGAAAGGCTAATGCAGAGTCTTTGTGTGTGTGGCGAGACTCAGGTGTCTTGTCTTGTGTGCTCCACTTGTGTGCTCTGTCCCTGAGATGCACCCCAGCCCTTGCCAGCGATCTTTGGGGAGAGCTTCAGTGCCCCTCTCAGAGGACAAGCAAGGTTCGGGAAGAGTTCAACACCATCCGCACTAGCGGGTGTCTAGGAAAGGCAGTAGCTAACATCACTCCCCACAACTAGAACACACACGATCTGGAGAGCGCGCATAAAGTAGTCACAAAGTACCCAGTACTTCCCACAAGAGAAGATGATTTTTAATGAATCAATATTATACAGATCATATTCTCTGACCTCAGCGCATAAAATTAAAGCTAACAAAAGATGTCCTCCTGTGTCTGCACTCTAAACACATATTACCGAATAACCCTTGGGTCAGCATAGTAATCACCACAGCGTACTTAGGTGGGGAAGTTAAAGCTCAAGGTCAAAGAAGGAGAGAACGTGGAGCTCTAGTTAGGGAAGAGAAAAACGAGAAAGGCAGGTTTCTTTGTTTTCCTTTGTGCTGCGGATCAAACCCAGGGCAGGTGCCCCAGGCAAGTGTTCTACCACTGAGCTGTTTGTTTGAGTGAGCCAAACACTCAATGGAGGGGAATAATAAAGGATCGAAGTCAGAGCACTTGCCTGGGTGTGGGAACAACAGTAAAAACCAAAACTGCAAAATGAACAGTGGATAAAACAAAAAGCTACTTGGGGGCGTGGCCCTAGCTCAGGCCTTTAAGTGGCTGCTTCCACAAAGCTCTCAGCCTCAGGTTGCTGGAGTTCGAACCTCACAACTCTCCCGCTGGCCAAAAGTGC